CTAGTACTCTCAAGCTCCCGAAAAGAAAGAAGGTGAAGAACGACAGCCTTCTTGTGTATGGACAAGGAATGTACTTGGAGTCGGCACACGAGGACACATTGCTGCACGTCAACGCCGCCGAGACTGAAGTGGGTGAGGCTGCCGCGGAGCATCCCTGCCCACCCGGTAGTGAGCCGTGTCCTGGGCGCTCTGACGATGAGAGCCGCGACCCAGACACGCTGCTGTTTGAGGTGCATGGGCGGCCAGTGGTGCGGCACGCCGCTCCGCTGTCGGCTGGCGGCGAGGGCGACAGCGAAGCAAGCACCGCTGTTGGCGGCCAGACGCCGCGGTTCGGCTATGGACCGCGGCAGCGCCATCCCGCCGGCCCGCTCGCCAGTGATACTGACGACAATAATAACAACAACACTGGTAATGACGTTATTGCAGGTGGTGTCTCTAGTGTCAGCGTTGGCGTGCGGCAGGCGTTATTTTCTTCTTCCTCTCCTGCTGGTGCTTGGGAGAGCAACGACATGGCGCGAACACCGTCGGTCGAAGCTTCGGGGCAGACGGCAGCGCCAGCGTTCTTGGAGTCTTCTGTTGTGGACACATTGGTCGCGCTTGAATCGTCGTCGCCTCTTCCAGTTGCTGCTGAACCGCTGCTTCAGCAGCAGCAGCCAGAGCAATCACCCCCCGCTTTTCCGCTCAAAGAAGGCGGAAGTAATCATACGGGTTCGATAACATCCGTGGAAACATGAGGAATTTGCTCATATAATATCTGCAGCGAATAGAGAGGACACATATATACTTCTGCGTAGTATATATATATACCATAACTCTTGTTATTGCTTTTCTTTTCGTTTAATCCCCTCCACACATACACTTCACTCTCCTGCCGCGGCGCCCGCTTGCTCTGGGAAGCACATATTGACTTCACTCAGCAGCGGTAGCTGAAGTCGTCAGTCCCACCACAGCGCCAAGGAAGCGCTTGGCAGTGTCTGGCGACGGCGCAGAGAGCATGTATCTCCCCGCAGTATCGTTTTGTTGTGCACCACATGTGGTAGTACTCGCATGTGTCGTCATTCTTCCTTTATAAGTCTCACGCTCTTCTCGCCGCACACTGATAGCGGCCTACACACTCTTCCACATTTACTCCCACACACCCGCCCACACACACACACACACTCTCTCTCTCTCACTTTATCTACCTGAGCACGGCGTCACGCAGTGCAATTTCCCTCGTAGTTCTCAGTGAGTTCAGTATAATTGTTTTTCGGCGGCTCAATGGCGGTGTCGGCCGAGGCGTGGCATGATGCGGATGTTGTCGGTCGACTGCGCGACGCGTACGCGGAGGTGGACCGCGACAGCTGCGTCCCGAGCCTGCAGGACCCGTCGCCACACATCCCGTGCGCCTCTTGCCTGCTTGAGCAGTCGCCGGTGCTGCGCGAGCTCTTCACGGTGACGCTCAACCTAGAGGTGGTGCTGAAGCGTCGCGAGGCGGACGCACTGGTTACCGCTCGGCAGAAGCATCTGAAGTGGTACGATGTGATATTCCACTCACTCTACGGCGCGTACGACATCCGCGCGCTGCTGCGGTACTGGGTGAAGGGCATCGTGGTGTACGAGTTCGGCGAGATTGTCACTTGCATCAGCGGTGCCGCCGGTAGTACGCAGACGCCGCCGCAGCAGCAGCAAGGGGTCCTGAAAGCGCTCGATCAGGCGGTGGAGCTGCGTGAGGGGCTGCGGCGTCTCCCCCGTCTCGTGGCGTTTCTCTTTGCGGGCCGGCTGCAGGTGAAGGAGGCGCAGGGCTTCGATGAGCTGATGAAAGAAGTTGTGGTGGGAAGCGTTGACGATGAATTTAAGCTGCATCTGCTGCAGCGGTTGCTGATGGAGGCGCTGCGGTACCGCCGCCAGTGTACGCGCGGCGTGGTGGCCTTCCTGCGCAACAGCGCAGCATTATACAACCAGCAGCCGCAGCAGCAGCAGCAACAACGGCTGAGGAACTCCTGTGTAGATATATGCGAGCTTATTCAGCTCTTCTCGCCGGACAAACGCCTCGCGGAGGAGCGTCTCGTATTGACGATTCTTCAGAGCGTCGTGGACGGCTGTCAGCAGTTTCTGCAGAGAGAAGCCCCACAGTCACTGTTGGGTCCCATCGCCAGCAGCGACGCACGCTACATGTTTCTCACCAAGACGTGGCCGCAGTACTGGCACAACGAGCTGGAGATCATGCGGGAGCTGCCGTGCATGGAGGAGGCGTGGGTCAAGGGCATCCTTGTGAAATTTGTGTTCCTCAGCGACATCAACAGCAGCAGCATCACAGCAGGTGATCCAACAGATGGTGTGTTGGACTTGCGTCACTGCTATCTTCGCCAGCTGCTCGGTGTGACGTTGCGCCCGCTCTTCGACGATCTTTTTGGTATTGGCGCCTCCGGCGAAGAGGCCGGCTCTCCCACTACCACAGCCGCAGAAGTAGATGCGGATGCGCCGATCACGTCTACCTGCTCCGCGGCCGCCACGCGGGACTCCTTCGACCTGCTGCTCGACATCGCCAACAGCATGGCATGCGTGGACGTCCCACCGCGACGGACACTGCGGTTTTGGGCACAAATGGGTGCCGGCGCTGCGCTTCCGGCCAGCATCGCAAAGGACGTTGGGTACGTTGTGATGGCGGGTGTCTGTCGCGAGCTGCTTGACGAGCGGCTCACGCAAGCGGTGGATTTTTTTCTCCTCAGCGGCGCCGACATGACGGAGGCGCAGCGGTGGCCTCGGCTGCTCCGCTACCTGCTGCGCACCGAGCGTGTGTTCGACCGCCTGTGTGAGGTGTGGCCACTAAAGATGCGTCTTCTTGACAGTAGTAGTAGTAGTAGCAGCAGCAGCAGCAGCAACGTGGTGGCGTGCTTCTACAGCATTCTGGAGAAGGCCCTGTTGAGGCACCGCCACCGACAGCGCGACGTTGATGTGCTCATTGACAGTCTCGTTGGCGGTGTGCATGTGTACCTTCTCCAAGGCGGGCGTGAGGGCGCGGAGATTCGGCGTGGCGGGTCTCCAACAGCGGCGGCGGCAACAGGGACGCTTCCGTTGCGAAGCCGCGAGGAGGTGCGGTCCGCAGTTCGGCTTGCGCGAAGTGTCTCCTCGACGGATAAGCTGCTGCGCATGTACAAGGAGCTACTCGCGTACCGCCTGCTGTCGCGCGCAGCGGCAGCGGGAGCACGGCAGCGCGACGGCAACACCGACGCCGCCGAGGCGCTTCGGGAGAAGCTGCAGACGGAGAGGTCCGTCTGCGAGTACATGCTGGAGGTGCTGCCGCGTGAGCGTGACGCGATACGGCAGATGATTCAGATGTGCAGCGACGTGGAAGCCACCAACGACGTGCAGGAGGCGTACAACCAGCACCTGCAGCAGCAGCAGCAGCAGAACAGCACGGGTCCCCCGGTGAAACTCACGGTGCGGCTGCTCTCGCGTCTCGTGTGGCCGACGTACCCGACGCTGCCGGACGTGCCGCGTCTGCTGTGGGAGGCGATGGCGCACTTCGCCGCGTTCTACGAGGCGCAGCACCGCAACCGCCGTGTTGTGTGGCTGCGCACGTCGATGGAGACCGTCACGTTCACCGTCGCGTACCCGCGCGGAGAGAAGGTGATCACGAGCGTGCTGGAGCTGTTCCGCGTGTTCTGGCGCCTCAGCGAGGCGGGCGGCGCCGGCACGACGTGGCAGGAGCTCGCGCAGCACGTTGGGAAGGACTCCGCGGTGCTGCAGCGCGAGCTGCGCAAACTCATTGCCGATGGCTTTTTCGAGGTGCGCGCGGACGGTGACGGTGACGGCAGCAGCAGGAATGCGCGCGTTTTCCTGAGCGCCGACTTTGCGTCGCGGCAGACGTGCTACGGCTTCCTGCAGCCGCCGCCGCGTGTGGGGGCGCTGCCAGCGGAGCGCAGCCGGATCGCGGACGAGCTGCAGCAGTCCCGCATTGCCGCCACGCAGGCGGCCATTGTGAAGCAGATGAAGAGTGTGCGTGCGTGCTGCTACGACGAGCTGTTCCGCCTGACGCAGCAGTCCGTGCGACAGTTCCAGCTGCAGACGGGCGACTTCAAGGCGGCGCTGGAGCGGCTGATTGAGAAAGACTACGTCGAGCGTGACCCGACGCAGAAGCAGAGGTTCCTATACAAGGCGTGAGACCGCCCCGTAACTGGCGATGTGAACAAGAAGTCACGCCTGAGGGGCTGCGGCTGCGGCACGTGAGGTGCAGCTGTGTGCATGCGCCTCGATCCTCCAAAGCTGGTTGTGTGGCTCCATTCACCGTGTCTTTTCTTTCCTTCTCTTTTTCTCGTTCTCTCTCTCCCGCACTGTTCCCGTTGCTGCGGTGCAGGTCTACACCACCGTGCAGAAGGGGAAAGGGAAAACAAAAAGGAAAAGAATCCAGATCAACGGTGGGAGGGCTACGTGATGTATGCGAAGGAGCGTAAGACCACGAAGCCGCACAACAGCAGTGTGGCATTGTCTGCCACGGCGCCGGCAGCAGCCCTTGTGCTGGCCTCCACGCAGCGGCTTACGCGGAGTTACGGACTCTCGTTCTGCGTGCTCCGGCGCGAAAAGAACGGCGGGGTGCTCTGCACGCCGCTGCAGGAAGCCTTCAGCGCGACAGACGTGGATGCTGTGATGCGGCAGGAGGGGCTGAAGGTGTCGCGAAACTCCGTCTTGCTGCGCCGCTACGCGGACGAGTGGAGTCGCAGGTGGACTCAGTTNCCCAGTGAGCCCCAACAACAACCGCAGCAGCCAGAACAGCCGCACGAGAGGAAACCAAAGCGCTTCCACACCGTGCCCAGTCTTCCGGATGCCCTTCATACGTTCCTGGCCAGCATGGGCGCTGCGAGTGCCTCGGAGTCCTTCTCTTTGATCGGCGGCTTGATGCCCGCTGCAGGAGAAAGGAGTGAGGGCGATTCTGGCAGCGCCTTATCGACGGCGTCGACGCCTCCAGTGCAGCCGCTCACCTCGCTGTACATAAACGCCATTGACGCCATCGCCGACACCACCGAGGATCTGTCACGCCAGGCAAAGGCGGCATGTGCCCTTCGCCATCAGTGTGAAACCCAGGGGCACAAAGAGGAAGAGACGAACATCACAGAGGACAGTACAACGGGGAGTGAAGACGACTTACCACAGCCTTCGTATCGTTTTTTCGTCCTGGCACCGTATGCACCGTACGCTGCACTCTACGCGGCCTCGAACGGTGTCGCCGCAACTGAAACAGAAGCAGCGACGCCTTCGTTTTGCGGTGGTGAGGCGTGTGAGATCCTCCTTGTGTACAGGTGCCCCAGGGAGGCGGCCCGTGTGGTGGGGGTGCCGGTCCCCACCGAGAACCCAGAGGTGTGGGGGCGCGTGCAGTACCAGCAGGTGGGAGACGCTGAGCGCAGTGGAGCAGCAACACGTGTAGGCAGCAGCGACGAGCTCTTCTTCATAGCGCAGAGCGTGGAGGACTATCTTCGGCTCGGCACCGCATTTGCGTGGGTGTACGGCTGGCAGCTTTGCTACGCATCGCATGGGCCACCCCCGCGGTCGCTGCCGTGGCTGAAGCTCTTCGCGCCCGGTGCCCTATCCGCCGCCATCGCCGCAGCCGCAGTTGATGTTTCTCCGCCCCACTGATGGCGCACATCTGGCGGTGTCTCACAGAAGAAAAGGTGTGTACACACAAGTCTTGTCGCATGCTGGTGGCAACGCTTTCAGAATCCCACGCACACACATGGATGAATGGCCGAAAGGAATCTTCCTGTTGACCCACTGTGAAAA